AAGCCCTCAAAGCCCAGCTAACTTTGCAGATCCTAGGCTTAAGGGAACTACTTTTTGATGATGGAGTACACTGTCCTTTCAGCACTCAGCCAAGACTGTAGACCCGGGAAGTTCCAGGCTTACAGCTGCCATTTGCTAAGGCAGCATAATGCTACTTTGGCTTCCACTCAACAGGAGAGCAGAGAGGCCTAGAAGAGAAGGAATCCCACCCAGGAGGAAACACAGAATACAGACTATACCTAAAAGAGGGGAAGGAAATTTATATTTTGCCAACTATGCCAAGCACTTTTACAAATGTTACGTTATTTGATTCTAACAACAACTCTGGGAGGTAGTTACTGTTATTATCCCCTTTTTACAGTTAAGGAAACTGACGCAAACAGAAGTTACATGACTTACCAGGACCACACAATTAATTAGTGTCTGTGGCTGCATTTGAACTCAGATCTTCAAGCCCATAACTCTATCCACTGTGCCACCAGCTGCCTACTAAAGAGATTGAGAATATCATGGTCTTCAGTCCAGAGCTGTTTAATTGCCCCATTACCTAGTCAATGTGTCTCATTGCTAGGTTTTTCTCCACTCTCATTCATGCTCATTGGTGGGAAAGTATGATGCAGTTTTATATGTGGCATTGTTTACATTGCGATTATTCTTATGTTTGCCTTTTTATTTTCTAAATGCTTCATGTCTTTCATTCTTTCACTTTTATGTATTATAACTGACCAAAAACTCATATGAACTGAAGTAGTCAGTGATGTCATCTTGGCTGATGAAATAATAAGCACACAGGTAGTATGATGGAGCCAGCTCCAGCCCAGGAAGGGAGAGCCTTGAGAGAGAGGTCAGCACCACACCCTGTACAACAAGTCTACATTTGATGACCATTGAACATTCATTTAGCTATATATTAATATCTTCACATAAGAAGCTTTTATTTAAAAGTTTTGTGATAATGTATCAAAGGCAGTATAAGGTAGTAGAAAGAACAGCAGAGCAGGAATCAGAAGACCTTGGTCAATAATTCCCATCCCACTCAGCCACCTGTTCGGGACATCTGACTATGCCCTGCCATGGATGTCCAACTTCTCCTCACCTGAACCAGAATGTTACACAGAGGGTCTCTAGAATCCATGCCCTAGTCCCCGGAGAAGTCAATCCACTCACTTCTCCCTGCTCTGGGGATAGTGAAACTGAAATTTGATTTTTAATTCTATTTTGTTAAAACTTAAATTGGAAGTAATATTTCCCTTCACTGCAAGTTCTACTGAGGTAACCTCAGGTCACTTGTCTCTCAATTTTCATCTTGTAACTAGGACCTCCACCCTTATATAGGTGTACATCATTTTATTGTGCTTTGCTTTATTGTGCTTTGCACTTTTTACGAATAGGTTTGTGGTAACCCTACATTAAGCAAGTCTATTGGTACCATTTTTCCAACAGCATGTGCTCACATAATGTCTCTGTATTACATTTTGGTAATTCTCACAATGTTTTTAACTTTTTCATTATTATTATTATTATCTGTTATGGTGATCTGTGATACAATGATCTTTGATGTGTAACTGTTTGGGGGCCCACAAAACCATGCTCATAGAAGACAGCAAACATTGATAAATGCTGGGTGCATGCCATTTCCTGTCTCTCTCACTCTCCTCTGGCCTCCCTATTCCCTGAGACACAACAATATTGAAATTAGGCCAATTAATAACCCTACAATTGCCTCTAAGTGTTTAAATGAAAGGAAGAGTCAATCAGTGAGGCAAACTTCATTGTTGTCTTATTTTAATGAACTGCCACAGCTGCCCCATCCTTCAACCACCACCGCCCTGACCAGTCAGCAGCCATCAACATGGAGGCAAGACCCTCCAACCAGCAAAGACTATGACTGGCTGAAAGCTCAGATGATGGATAGCTTTTTGCAGCAATAAAGTTTGTTTTTTTTTTTAATTAAGGTATGTACATTGTCTTTTTAGCTATATGCATACTTAATAGACTACAGTATAGTGTAAACATAGTTTTTATTTGCGCTGGGATACCAAAACATTCCTGTAATTTGCTTTATTGTGATATCCACTTTATTGGAGTGGTCTGAAATGAACCAGCAATACCTTCAAGGTATGCCTGTATTGAAACTTGTTATCTCCACCTTTGTAACTTCACCCACACCCCAGATAAACCTGCCTAAAGGTAATCTCATCAGTCTTAAACTGCTAAATTTACTCCTAGTAACTTAAGTAACTCCAAGGTTTTCAGACTAATCACCTAAGGACTGATCTCCTCTCCAAATGATGTAATGGGGAGGACCTGAGATGACACTTATCCCACCTCCTCATTGAAATGTCGACCAATCAGCATTGTCTTGTGACCTGAATCACATGTCTCTTTAGGGTCCAATCTTCAAATGGTGTGGTCCATGCCAGTCAGCCCCAAACCACTCAGATTCACCCCACCCCCATTCCTAAAATGTGTTCTCCTTGAGTGTGTTCAAATGTGAATAACAGTAATCAACTAGCAAAACAAATTACTATTTACTACATTAGCAGAAATGAAATTTCTGAGGGCTACATAGAGGAAGAGATTTTTCAAAAAAATGAGTAACTTCTGACATCTGACTAGACAGGAGAAAAAAAAAACCTTCTAGTAAAAGAAAACTGAGTCCAAACCCCTGATTTCTTTATTCTATAGAAACCTACTAGCTTTTAATTGGGGGCTTCCAAAGCATCCCCTTCCCAAACAGAAAAACTGAAAGCAGAAACAAAGCAAATCAATTAGAAGTAGAACAGGGTAACTGAAGCAATTCAAGATATTTGTTTTCACCCAGCCCAAATGAGATAAAGTTATGTAAAGATCCAGGGCAACTGAAAGGGCCATCATCATCATTAGGCAATTAAGATATTAGCGGACCAAATTAAGAAAAACAATAAATATTTAGTTACATAAAGTAAAGGAATAATAAGCTATGAAATATGGGAAGCATCATGGGGTGGTACAGTCAGCATTGGACTCAAAGGCAGAAGATCTGAGTTCAAATCCTAACTCTTGTTGTTGTGAGAAAAGCTAGGTGACTTATCTGAGATCACATCTGTTCCACTTAGTTTAAGTTCATCACCTGGAAACATCATCCTGGAAACTGCTTCAACTTTGGTGCTCACAACTTATCAGTACTCTCACTTGCTATGCAGATCACACAGCTTTCCTGAGTCTTAGGGTTGATGAACTGCTTTCTCTCATAGGGTAAACAGAGATAATGCAAGTGTAAGCCCTTTGTAAACTGTAAAGCACCATACAGGCATAAGTTATCTTCACAGTGTCTATTATTTCATTTCAAGGGGAAAAAAAAGTAGGGAAACATTATCATCATAAGCCACAATTGTCTTTGGGGGAAAAAGCTCCTTGGCCTAGGCATAGAGAGCTGGAAAGAACTTTATAGGCCATTCTGCCATATTAAATTTGAGGAAGCTAAAGCCCAAGGAAGTTGAGTGATTTGTCCAAAGTCACACAGGGAGCTTATAAAGCAACAGATGTGGGATCCGAACCCAGGGCCTCTGACTCCAGAGTTTATGGACTTTTAATCATATTTCATCCTCCAGTTTGTTAAGAAGCTGTCACATAGTTTGTGTCTGTATTAGTTATGTGAACTGTGATTGTCTTAGCTGTCTCATCCATAAAAACTTTTTCTTACTATTGGTTGGTAGTTCTGGGAAATGGTTTCATAACAGAGAAGGATGAAAATTAGTTCCTAGCCCTACCTGGTTTTCTATTTTCCCGAACATCCCTCAGTCCACCTCTCTTATGAAAGAAAATTAAGAATTTTTTAATATGCACATAGAAAGTCACACAAACATTAGGAGAGATGTTTTGCAGTAGGATTTTATATAGGTCTGTTATCAAAAAGAACAAAGGCCAAATAAACTGAGATTCTTTATGAAAAGTTTGAGTTCTGTGGTCCCTTGCCAAAGCACCCTCTGGCTTATTGTTATTTGGTAGTTTCCTATTCAGTAGTTTAAGATACAAATTCAGCCTGCTCTTGGACTTTGTGTTTGACTTGTAATAAAAAGGGGAGAAGGAGAGTGTACTAGATAGCTTACTTTCTTTTTTTTTTTTAATCAGGCTTCCATCCTTTAAGAAAAACATAGGAATGAAAGAAAATTAGTTTAAAGCTGTAGCACCCCTAGGAGAATGACCATCGGCAAAGCTGATTTACAGATTAGGGCCTGTAATGTTTCTTCTGTTATAACTCTTGAGGTACAAAGGCTTCAAATAGCCTGGCCTCTTCAAAAAGTGCCATATTTTCATAGCTGGACCCAGAGTGAAGCACTGAGGAATAATCTGCAATTTTAAGAAGGAAGGAAGGAAGGAAGGAAGGAAGGAAGGAAGGAAGGAAGGAAGGAAGAAGACTTATGGATTGGGGAGGGAAGGAAGAAGGGGAAAGGGAGGAAGAGAAGGAGGTAGGAAAGTAGGAAGAGGAGAGGAAGGGAGAAAGAAGGGAGGGAAAAAAGGAGGGATGGAGGGAGTAAGGGGGGAAAGAGGAAAAGATAAAAGGAGGGTAGGAGGGAGGGAGGAAGAAAGTGAGAGACGAGAGGAGGAAGGAAAGAAGAGAATAAAGGAGGAAGAGAAGGAAGTAGAAGGGAGGAAGGGGGGAAGGAGGAGGGAAAAGGAAGGGAGGAAGGAGGGAAGGAATAAAGGAGAGAAGGAGGGAAGAGAAAAGAAAAAAGTTTGTTTTGTTTTGTACAGCAAAGAGAACTGAAGCATGGGAAAAGGGAAGAAAACTGAAGAGCTCTGAGATTTGGGCAACATTGGGGAGTTACTAAGTCATTAATTTCTCATGAGTGGCCAGCTGCTGTCTCTATGTCATTGCCACTGTCCAGTTCCCAATCAAAGTTAGCCAGGTTCATTCTCTTCTTACTTGCCTCTATTTTTTTTTCTCATGCCTCAAAGGGCATGTCAAGTCAGACCTACAAGAGAGCATGAAGCAAAACTACTAGGAACATACAAAATGGCATTGGGTTATAATTTATAGTGGCTTTGCCTCCACATTATCACCTGACTTTATAGGCCAATAGAAGACAGGGAAGATAGTCCTCCTTCTAGTTTTAAGAACATGGAAGAACTCTACACTCTACTCCCTAAGTAGAAGGTATCAATTGGACTTCCTTGGCTGAGCAGAACTCAAGAGGCAGTGAGTGCCCAAGAATTAAGAGCTGACACCCCGACTGGTTGGTCTCTTTTCCGTGAAGAAGCTTTTCAGAAGCACCACTTGACTGATGCTGACCACAAATAGTATGACTGTCTCCCCCACAGACCAGTAGGAAACCCGCTCATTCAAGTCATCAGCTCGATTCCGGTCCTGAGCTTCCCTGAGTCGATAATGTGTCTGAGAATCAATCACTGTTTTCAAGGCTTCATGAATGGTCACACAAGCAGACTCCATCTGGGAAAAGGGGAAAAGCCAGATACATTTCAAAGACCAAGAACTGCTATCAACCACAGATTACTGCTCTGGGAAAAGGGGTGTGCACTAACACCATAATCCCCAGACCATCCCCAAACCTCTTCTTCCAGAAAACTTTTCACAGAGCCACAAGTAGTAAAATGATAGGAGCTAGTGTGACCCAGTTTGAACCAGCTTAAACCAATCAAAATTGTCTATAACCATGGCAAATCCATTAAAACTGAGCAGAACTGGGTTAAATTGTTTGGGAATCAATTGGAACCAGTAGGAATTGCTTTCAATTATTCAGAACTGGTCAAGAAGTGATTTAGGAATAAATAGCTATAGATTCAGAATAATGGCATCTCTACTTTCTTCAATAATAGATCAAACCCCTAAATGTTGACAAGATCCCTAGGATACAGTGAAGAATAAGTTATATGAGCTATATTTGAAGCCAAGGTGAAAGACAATGTGACCCAAAGACCAAGAAGGCTTGGTTCTGATTCTAGTTCAAGCTAGTAGATCCTATCTGACCAGTGACCCAAGTATCGTCACATTTAGATATGCTTAAAGTCAAATATGCTTACATGCACTCACCTGTGTCAATGCAGTAACTCTGTTTCCCATCTCTGGAAGAATGGGGGGTTCATCTCCAATTAGAAGGTCAAAGAAGACAATTTTGTGAGAAAAGGTAGAAAACTCATTACTGAAGCAAAACTTGTAGATTCCTTTGATATCTGTCTGGTGAAAGAAACTGTCATACTGCTTCTTGGTTTCTTTGTAAATTGTCTTTCCATGGGGGTCTTCAATAAAGCAGTCTACATCATAGTGTCCACCACTAATGACCTGTTGACCACAAATGGCCCCAGAGAGTTTGTAGTTACCCCGCAGGACACGCAGAAACATACACAGACAAAAACAAACCCAAATATGTTCTGCTGGTGTTCTTCAATGGAATGATGCCTCAGGATAATAGATCAGAAACAGATCAGGACTATCAATAGAATAAGAAGTTTGAGATCTTGTTTCAAAGAAACCACTCAGGGTGGAAATGGGTAATAGTTTTTCCTTCTTTCACTTTGTTCTATGTTCTCTGGGGAACTCAGGGTTGATTATAAGGTCTCAGGTTGTAAAATAAAGATTTAAATGGCAACACAGACCAACCCTCTCAGAGAAGCAGTTTAAGCACTAAATCCAGCTTTCCCCAGGGCTTGTTATTCTCACCAAGAGAAAGTAGGGTCAGTCAATGTTTTCAAATACATGAAAAGCATTAAGAAAATAAATAAATAATTGAACAAACAAATGAGCACCACAGTTGAATAAAAGCCATCCATATTTTCATAGAATATAGAGTCTTAGAGGAAACCTTAGATATCATCTACTCCAACTTCTCACACTGTAAGAATCCTTTCAACAACACTGGAAGTGGAATGAATACTGGACTTGGGGTCAGAAGACCTAGATCTGAATGTTGGCTCTGCTTCTTCTTACATGTAGGTGTTTAATCTCTTCGGGTCTCTGGTCTTTAGCCATTAAATGAGAAGTTTGGATTTCATTAGATGATCTCTAGTCATTTAATCCAAAGTCATGAACTTTTACATTTATACTTGTTAAATTTCAACTGGTTAGTTTGGGCCTAGAATTCCAGCCTGTTAAGATCATTTTGAATTAACATTAGCTGTCCCTCCTAGATTTTTGTAAACTAAAACTATTATAATTACACTTATTCTGCCTGGCATCAGGGAGGAGAGATAGGACCAATGGGTAGAAGTTATAGAGGGACAGATATTCACTTAATATAAGGGAACAATTCCTAACAATTGTGACTAAAAATAGAATATCTGTCTTGGAAGACAATGAACTGGGGATATTCAAACTGAAGCTGGATGGTCACTTGCTGAGATTTTATCAAGGGGATTCCCAATTTAGGTAAGGGTTTGACCAGATGATTAACAAGGTTCCTCTTAGGCTTTTAGATTTAGAATTGGAAAGGACCTTGTAGAACGTCAAGTCCAATTTGCTTCCTTTGAGATACTGTCATCCAAGTCATTGAACAGCAGTGAAATTCTGTGGGGATAGAATTCTGAACCTGGTGTTAGGAAGAAGCCCCTCACCTCAAATGCCATCTCTGACAGTAGCTGTGGGACCACAAGACAGTCATTCTCGCTGAGCTTGTTTTCTCATCAGTAGAATGAAGATAATAACGAATACCTATAGTACGAATCTCATAAGGCTTCTATAAGGCTCAAACTTTTAAGACTTACATAAATGATAGTTATTGTTGTCCTAAAAATGTATTTCAGTTATTTCACATGGTCTTGCTATTAATTCATAAAAAATGAGAATTAAGCAGTTCAGTTCATTCTTAAGTCTGTTTTAACAGACAGACAAAAAAGAACACATGAAAGAATTACTATGTCCATGTTTACCTATCTGTACTCCCAGAGCTTCCCACAATACATTTGATGTCCTGGTTTTATATTTTGAAATTATCTACATTTAGCCAGTGTTGAAATGTAGATTAAGAAGCTCTTGGGCCACAAACTTCCACCACCAAACAAATGATTTCACACTAAAATGCAAAGCTTGAGCTTCCCTACTGCATTTTGAAGCCTTTGAGTAAGCTATATGGATCAAGAATCTGTCAAAGAGACAGTCAAGGGCTCCCTCATGTGGCCATAAGTATCACTGCAGCTCAGAAACCATGCAACATAGGCCACCCACTGCGCAGTGTTGAAGCATTGGATGTTAGAGGGGGCATATGTCTTAAAGATCGTTAATTACATTCCCTACCTTGCACAAATGGGGAAATTGAAAGTCAGGGCTGATGAAGCGACTTGCTTAAATAGGATCACAACCTATTCAGCGCTCAGATTACTTTCAGTTCTAACAGACTGTTAGGTATTTCCTAAGTTTCACTCACTATTGTTGCAGTGAAAGTTTTGCAAGTCAACCGCTGAATGACTATTTAGCAAGGATTAGAACAGAGAACTTCAGGGTAACCAAAGCTGTTTAAACAGATATGAGATTAGCCAAACGACTCAGATTTCAAGAAAAGATAAGAGGTAGAGGTGATGGAGCAGAGTCTTCCAAGCATGAGGGGCAACCAGTGCAAAGCATAGAAGGCACTATGTAGGCATTGGGAGCCAACTAGTGCAGCTGGATCAGAGTGTGTAGACAAGAATAATCTATAAGAAGACTAGAAAGGCAGGAAGAAGCCAGGTTGTGAAGGGCTGTAAATGCTCAACAACGGAGTTTGTATTTCATCCTGCGTGTCATTGTGGGCCACTGGACTTTATTGAGTTATCAGGGAGCAGGAGCATCTTGGCAAAGCTAGTGCTGTACTTGAAAATTATTTTGGCAGCTGAGTGGAGGATGAATTGGGATGAGAAGACCCTTGAGATAGGGAGCCTCGTCAATTAAAAGACTATTGCACTAGTCTAGGCAGGTGGTAATAAAGGCCTGTACAAGGGTGGTGCCCTTCAGTGAAGAAAAGGGACATATGTTAGGAGGGTAGTGAGGGTAGGTAGTTAGGAAGGTAGTGACACAAAAGTTGAAAGTCTGGGTAACTGGAAGAATGGTGATACTCTCGACAATATTGGGAGAATTTGGGAAAAGAGTGGGGTTTTTCTTTTGGGGGGAGGACTGCATGACGTTGGGCAAGTCACTTGACATTTATGGGCCTCAGTTTCCTCCTCCGTAAAAAGCTGGAGTTTGAACAAATGAGCTCTACGGTCCTTTCCAGCTCTACATCCTGCGGTCCTATTTGTCCATAGGATGCTCCTGCAAAAGGACACTTAAGCCAAAAGCCTGGACGACTTGGCCAAGTACTTCAACGGCTAAAAAAGTTCCCTGACCTATCAGGAGACCAGATACCAAAGGAGGGGGGAAAGGTGGCAAGCTTGAGCTTCAAGTGGCATCCTGTCTTAATTAAGCCCAGGCCCATCCCCTCAGTCCCCTACACACAATCCCCTTCTCTGCAATCTGAGAAAGACACCAGCCGAGATGGGGGGAGTCCAGAGGCAAAGCAAAGCAGAGGAGAGCACCCCACCCCGCCTTACTTGATAACCTAGGGTGAATTTCACCCCCTGGTCCACCTCTTCGTGGAAACACTGCTTGGCGCTGTCTGGCAGTTCGAAAGTCAGCTGGGTGCATCTCAGTACCTCGGCTCGCACGAGCAGCAGCAGCAGCGGCGGCAGCAGCCGCCGCCGCCACAGCCCCAGAGTGCCCGCGGGAGCCGGGGATCTCATGCTTCTGGTCTCGGCTAAGCCCTCCAGGCCAGACTCAGTGCTGGCCGGCCCGTGCAAGCTGGGGAGCCGAGGAGGAAGAAGCGTCCGTCCCTTCGCCACTCCCTGCAGCAGCAGCCCGGGTGGAGCTCAGCTCCCTGGCCTGACGTGGCACTAGGGCTTGGAACCTGGCTCTTCCGGGTGGCTCCGGGCTCCTTTCTCAGGGCGGGACTGTGCTCTTGGCGGAGGCGGGGACTGGTCTGGCTGTGGAGCTGGCCAGAGTTTCCTTCCCTTCCCTCTTCCCTCAGTCAGTTTGAAGACTTGGCCAGCAGGAAAAGGGACTTCGTTGTCCTTCCAGAGTCACCTAGTTAGGTGACTGACTGACTGTAGCTCGGGGAAAAGACATCCAATCCAAACTCTTCCTTTTACAGATGAAAACTGAGGTTCAGGGAAATTGAGGAATGTGTCCTAGTTCACAGGAGGGGAAGAGAGGAGGTGAGGGATGGAGGAAGGAATTTGGATGGAAAGAGACAGTCCACTGGCTGCAGAATCCCTTCTCTTGCCCAGTGACCCAGTGGACAGCACCTGGAGACAGGTTCAAGCCTGTCCTTATAAACTAGCTGTGTGACTCTGCTGCCGGTTTCCTCATCAGTATGGGGATAATAATTAATAATGATGATGATGATGATGATGATGATGATGATGATGTTGATGATGATGATGATGATGACAGCACCTACCTCCCAGAGTAGTTGCCAGGATCAAGTGGAATAATAGTTTTAAAGCCCTTTGCAAACTTTAAAGTGCTATATAAATACTAGTTACTTTTGTCCCTTCCCTGGCCCTGGCCCTTCTCTCCCTGAATCCTAGAAATATTTCTTCACCCTGTGGCAACCAGGGACAATTTGGGCTGAAAAAGTGCAGTGAAAAAGTACACATGTAACCCACTGAGTGCCAGGACCAACCTATGTCTGGTCAGCTCTAATTAGCTTAAGAGAAATTACCCAGCCCCAGGGTTTTAATAATAACTTCAGTCCGCTTAAGTTGCAAGTAAGTTTTTGAAGAATCCCTAGATTGGTTCAACCATTCAACTAGCATTTAAGATAATAAGCCAGGCCCTGTGCTAAGCCCTAGCGATTCAAAGAAAGGTAAAAAGAGATGGCTCCTATAGAAAGCTAATCTTGATCTTCTTTGAGCCCTCTGAGCTCCTCAAATTAATTTGTATAGATTTAATTTTCTAGGTGCCTAGTTTTCTCCGATAGAATGCAAGCTCCTTCAAGGAAGGGCCATTTTTTTATGGTCTTTGTGCCCACAATCCCCCCAGCATGAGGCCTAGCACATAGTAGGCATTTAATAAATGCTTGTGGGATTAAATTGAATTGAACCAAATTCAAATCAAAGGTCTTTTAGCTCTGTCATTCAACATTTGTGTCCTCCTAATTCACTTTTGCAACTCCTTCTCTATGTGTGTATTTTCACTCATAAATGTAAAAATAAATGTAAACACTTAAACAAATGTTTATCTGAGTGAGGGTTTGGTACACTGACATTGTGATGTGGGTTTTGTTATATTATCATCAATTTCAATATATGACGGAAATTCTGTAAATTGGTTAACATCCCAGCTGAGGAACCATCTCCACCATGTTTTCCCTGATTCCCCAGACAGAAGTGACTTCTCCTTCAGAGCCCTTGCCATGCTTATTTCGAATTTATAATGAATGAACTATGACATTTTATGGTTATATGAGTGCTTGCTTTATTTCCTTCTTCTAAATTATAATCTCCTTTGGGATAGAGGCCAAGATGTACTCATCTTTGAATCCTCCACAACATCTTAACATAGATTGTTGAATGGAATTAAATAACCCAAAGCAGACATTAATCCTTACTAGGGCTTACTCTGCTTTCAGCTATCAGTCACAGTCTACTAGCTCCAGGGTAGGTCCAAAAATAGAAGTCCTGTCCTGTCATAGGACACCTGCCTTTGGACATTCAGCAAGCAAACAAGCATTTTTTAAGGGTCTACCATGTCCCAGACACTGTGCTAAGTTCAGGGGTGCAAAGACAAAAAGAAAGGAGTTCCTAAAAGAGCTTCCACTCATTTAGGGGAAGCAACATGAAAGGAAAAGTGAACAGAGAGGAAAGAACACTGGCTTGAAATCAGAGGGTTCTTAAACTGGGGTCTGTGAATTTAAAAAAATTGATAACTCAATTTCACTATCATTCATTTCCTTTATAATCCTGTGTATTTTATTGTATGCATTTAAAAACATTTCACAGGATTCAGGTCCAGACTGTCAAATGACTCCATAACACAAAAAAAGTTAAGAACCCATGACTAAATTCAGAGGGCCAGAGTACAACAATACTGCTCCTGATACTTATTCCTGGTATGTATGTATGGCCTTGGACAAGTTACTTAAACTTCCTGGGCCTGCCCAGCTGTAAAATAAGAAGGATGGACTACTTGGCTTCTGGAGTTCCTTCCAACTTCTTTTTTGTGACCTCAAGTTCTCCAAAGTAGCTCCCTGTTAGGCAAGAACTGAAGATAACTTCTTCATCATCTGGTTCCAGGCCATCTCTTCAAACTTTTCATATAACTGCCCTTTATATACTTTGTGTTATGACCAAAATGGCTTTCTTGTCATGTACCCCAAACTCAGAGAATGATTTTTTACCTCTATGATTTCGCATAGGTCTTCTGTCTCCCATGTTCATAATACATTTCCTCCTCACTTTGGCGTCCTTTGAGGCTCAGGAAGACTTTCCAGATCCTGCTGGTTGCTTACCTTTGGCCTTGCTCCAATTATCCTATATCAGCTCTTTACATTTTGTGTCCTCCAGTAGAATATTATGTTCCTTGAGGGTTAGAACTTTTCATTGGCCTGATTGTTTTTGTCTTTGTATCCCTGGTGACTATCATAGTGTCTTGCGCATAGTAGGTGCTTGATCAAGGTTTGTTGAACTGAAATCCAAAATTAATTAAATTTTAGACCCTCATGTCAATCAAGCTGAGCTTATTGAGGCCAAAAAACTTAGCCAAAAGGTCTGACAGACCCATGATACTTATGTTCAAGCTTCTTCATTTGTTACCCTGTCTACAAATGATTCTCGGCAACTCTCAGTGTGACAAGAGTACTATCCTTGACATCCTTTCAGTAAAGCAGCTTCATCAGCTAAGTGCCAAAAGTATTGAGTCAGAAAATCCACCTCATCAGCATAACTCAAGTTTCATGTGCTTGTTTTAATGACCATGATGAAATGTTGGTTGGAAAGAGTAATGAACCAGTGTCTTTGCAAAAGTTATGGCTGAATATTGTTTTGATCAATAGAAATTTCAGGATAAAAGAAATATGGCTTTGAAAAGCTGGGATTTTTTTAGCTTTGGGGAGTAGAATTACAAAGTAGAGCAGAAATCAAAAAATGAGAACTGCTGGATAAAAATTATTTGCTACAAACAGCTGAACTTGTCTACTTCCAAATACACTCAGGTCACAAGATCATGGAAGCCTAGATTTAAAATTGGAACTTTAAAGCATTGATTTAAATGTTAACATCTTAGGTGTCATCCAATTCAAATCCTTGACTTTACAGATAAACTGACTTGTCAAAAGTCACTCAGGTAGTAAATATCAAAGCCAGAAGTTGAACCCATGTCCTTCATCCTAATCACACCCCAGCAATATTTCATATCTTTTTTTTAAAATTAGCTATCAGATGTATTTTTCAAACTCTCTACCTCTCCCACCTACCACTAGCTGCCATGCAATCTCTCCCTGCCCATTTCCTCAAACCTGTGAGCCACGCTTACTTCTCTGATTCTTTTTTGAAAAGTTTTGACGTTCCCTCTTATTGTATCATTCTCACTTTACAACAACTCTTCACTCAGTCAGTACCACCAAGCAAAACAAATTAATACCTTGGCCAAGTCAGAAGTCACCAAGAAATGGGCAGCAGGATTGGTCGCTGCATTGATCAGAGTTTCAAGGCCTTTGAATGCTGTTTTCATTTACATTACTGTGGTCTTCATGTAAATTGTCCTCATGGTTCTGCTCATGCCTTCCTCTTCATTTCATAGAAATCTAAAGTTTCTCTGAATACCCTATATTAATCATTTTTTGAAATGCATTATTCCATTAAATTCAAATGCTTTGATTTCATTCAGCCAATTCCCCTATCAGTAGGTACTCGCTTGCCTTTCATTTCTTTACTGCTACAAATATTTTTGTAGGTCAAATGAGATAATGTTTGTAAAGCTCTTAGCATAAAGCCCAGCATGTAGTAGGTACTTAATAAATGCTTGCTCCCTTCTCTTTCTTTTTTGGAGGAGCTTTCCCTCTGTCTTTGCCTTCTTGGTAGGGGTGGGATGTTATGCTCAGCAGTATTATTAGGTTCAAGAGTACATAATATAGCGACCTATCTAATACCATGTTTTCCAGAACAACTGTACCAATTCCCAGTGCTAGCAACAGTAGTACATTGTGTACTTGTCTTCCAACAGCCCCTCCAACATTTGCCATTTTGATATTTTCTCATCTTTGCTGATTATCTGATAGGTTAGAGGGAAAAATAGCATTGTTTATTTATCATTATCAATTTCTATCATTCTTTCCTGTAACTGTTTCAAGTTTATACTTCTCCTTTTGAAACTGCTTGTCATACAATTTTACCATTTATCTACTGGAGAATGGGTCTGGTTTTTATATATTCATATCAATTCCCTATACAAATATCTTGTGCATCAGACATTTATGCATTCCCTTCTTAATCTCCTGCAATTTGCTTTCTGTTCCCAGTACTCCAGTGGACTGATCAATTAAAAGTTACCAATTAATTCCTTAGTTTTTCTTAACATGTATCCTTTCTGGAATTTGACACTGTTGGCCATTTACTGTCTTCAAAACTTCCCTTATACCACCACTACCACACATAAATCAAGACTGTTAACTCATTTGCCTAGTATGATCTGGAACCATGTTCTTCCTGCTGTGGGAAAGTATAAAATATGAATCACTAATTCTCTTTTGTTCACCCTGAGCCTCATGGCAGGGAATTCTCTCTTCCCCTCTTCAACAATTAAAAAGAATCTGCCTTCCTTTATCCCTGTCAATCTCTCTTTCTTTCATTACAGTGTCAAACATACTACTTGCTTAACTAGCCAGTGACATCTCATATCCAAGTTCATGCTCTTGCCTGTCCAAGTGTCAGGTTGTAACTTCAGCTCATTCTTCCCCTCAAGAGAGGAAGGCTTGTTTGTCAGTTACAGTCTGACCCCAATCAGCCACAGAATTGCACAAGAAAGTGATGCTGGGAAATTTTTTCCCTGCCAAAGGACATTGGCCTCCAGCTTCCTTTTACATGGAGATGCTGAGGCCCAGAGAGATTAGGGGACTTTCTCAAAGACACACCAAGAGTTGGTGGGTGATTTAGGAGTAGAATTCAAGACTTTTATCTCCCAGTCCAATAGGCTTTCCGTGAAGCTACCACTAGTCCAAGATCTTTGCGTTGTAGTACAATGAGAAGGTTCATGGTAGGTGAAAAGAAAAAAATGGACCTAGAGTCAGAAGGCATGGGTTTGAATTCCAGTTCTGCTATTTATTGTCTGTGTGACCTTAGGCAAGTAACAACCTCATGGACCTTCAGTTTTCTCCTTTGTTAAATGATGAGTTTGAATTCTATGATCTCTAGAGTCATAAAGCCCATAGTTTTATAGATGAGGAAACTGAAACGTAAGAGGAAAATTTTGCTGCTTAGACCAGGGATTATTTCATGACTTTCTGCCTCCATAAACATTAATAGTACCATACAATGTCAGGATGATTTCTACAAATGATTTGAGGGTAGAGAAATTCCATTTAAATCATATTATAACTACAAAATTATGACTGTTTGTGATGACCATCCTTGGTATAATCTGGCTCAAACAATAAAAGGATTTTTATCTGTTTGACTTTCCATGACTTTACCGTAAGCATAAGAGCCAGGGCTTTTTTGGAGAATGGGACCTAGACTGAGAATGGGGAAAAACTGAAACTGTGCAAATGGATATCCTGAAGAATGAGTGTGCTGATCTGAATGGGCATTAACATTAAACATTTGCCTGCATCAGTAAATTCAGGGCTAGCAGTTCTGTGCTTGGTCAGATAACTGCAGAGTGATACAAAGGCAGCCTTTCCTCCAAGAAAGACAGGTTTTTTGTTTGTTTATTTGTTTGTTTCAGTCTTAATCACTTTTGTCCTTGCTTTATCTCTTCTCCCTCCTTTTTTAACTTGCCTTCCCATCTCAAGATACAAAGATTCAAAAATGTTTCATCTATGTAAGCTTTCCTCTTTGAGTTAGCCTTCTGGGAACAACTCTTCCCTGAGTGACTGAAAAGTCCAACCAGTCTCTCGGGGGACCAGTTCTGTGATTCCCAGACATTTGTTTGAAAAGAGAACTAGAAAAGCACTCCTCAGATGGTATTTGGTAAATTAATGTTTCCTGTGTTGATATGAACAGATACTAGAGTATTATGAAATATTTGGGGGTTTTTCATTCCTTGAAATAGACTTTTTACATTTTACATCTTTCCATAGGGAAATGCTAAATGTTTTATCAATATGACACCTCCCCTTAAAGTAGTCAATGGGCAGCCCATACCATACCAGGCTGCAAACCTGTAAAAATTCCACACAAATTAGAACATACCTACAGATCCAGGGAACCTCAAAGAAATTTGGTGATACCTAAAAAATATCAGATTATTTGTAGTTACGAATTTGAATAAAAAGTGAAAATATGAACCATATAGCTCCTTTGAGCTCATTTAAGTCCAAAGCTTTCCAGCTATAAAGTCCATCACTGTTATTCACTTATTCATTCAACAAACGTTTATGAAGCACCTACAATGGGCAATGCATGACAGGAAATGTAAAAATAATAAAGCATGATCTCTGCTGTCAAGGAACTTAGGATTTTTCAAAAGTAGGAGCAGGTAAAGGAATATTGTAGAAGCAATAGTTTGATGTGTAGATACTTTGAATCTTTCTGCAAGGTTCCCATAACTTGTTGGCATTCAAGTGCTAACCAAACTTAGGTTTTGTGGCTCCTGACAGAGAAATAAGTGAGAAGAAAGTGAGTTTGCTGCAGAGAATGGTGATCAGTACCTAGACAGTGGTTACCTCCCATGAATATGGTTGAAAAGTATTCATTGTCCTCAGGGACTCCAGACTATGTTGTTATCCTTGCCAAGTGTTTTCCCTTCTATCTATCTATGCCATAAGGAGATAAAGAGCATGTTTACATAATGCCAATATATTCAGTCAGTTCTGTGAAACATAAAAATTGCTCATAGACAAAGAGATAACTAAATTGCTAGTTGTTCAATAAGAGTGTTTTTTTATACCACATAGGAAGCATTTAGGCAATTGGTATTTTTGTTCTTCCCCTATCATGTGATATCCCCCCAAAGTGGTTTTATGAATTTTTTTTTCTGTTTCACCAGTTGTTTTAGAGAGAGCAACTCCAATGGGCTGGCCACGTTGTCCAAATACAAAACACACACTGGCCAAAATGACTATTTTATGAAGAACTCACACAGGGTAGATGTTCACATGGTGGTCAGAGGAAGAGATACAAGAAAACTCTCAAGGTCTCTCTTAAGAACTTTGAAAATGGTTGTTTGACATGGAAGACTCTGGCACAGGACTACTCAGCAAAGCATGCCCTCATCAGAGAAGGTGCTGTGCTCTATGAGCAAAGCAGAATTGAAGTAGCTCAAAGGAAACATGAGATGAGCAACTTTAGAGACTCCACCCCAAATGTTCACTTGGCCTATTTGTGCCTGACCTGTGGCAGAGCATTCCGAGCTGATATTAGTTTAATCAGTCACAGTCAGACACACTGTAATTTGACTCTAGCATAGTGATGTCATTTTGGTACTCTTCGAGAACAAAGGACAACCAACCAGCATCCTGAGAAAACATGATAGACAAAGTAATGTTCATCAAATTGAAAATGATGGACTTAGTCAATCATAAGAAAGCTTCAAATCTTTTGGGTGATAAAACTAATGGTGGCTATTGTGATTATATATCGAGAACTGGAAGGGAACTCAGAAGCCATCTAGTCCAACCCATTCATTTTACAGATAAGGAAACTGAGGCTCATTAGAGGTAAGATGTTTAGATTTTGAGCTCCTTGGGAACAGGGACTCTCTTTTGCCTCTTTTTGTATTCCCAGTGCTTAGCCCAGTGCTTGGCACATAGTAGGCACTTAATTAGTCTTTATTGACTGGCTGACAATAATTTGCTCAAGGTGACACAGAATTCATGATTTCATTACAGTAAATACTCCTGCCCTCAGTATATCACAATTTCTCCATATCTTCTCATCCTAGGTCTTTCTTATGTCTTCTTTGTCTCCCCAACGTAGCTACCATAGGTAAAACTCACATTTGCAAATAAAACTGCCCTCTCACATGTTTAGGTGACAATGTTTGTGACTTGGCATTGCACATATGTAGGTGTGTAGGCTTATTTGAAACTCCAACAACAGCACCTACTATTCACATGACATTCCATACATTTCCTCTTTAAGTTAGACTGTAAGAACTATAAGACTATAAATTATAGAATAGTGGGATTAACCAGAATACAAAATACTGTCTTTTAAAGTAGTCACTTTTGGTCAGTCATATCAATCTCATTTTACAAGAAAAGTGGAATAATTTTACAATTTGGTTTTCATTAGAAAAATGGGAAAAGAAAGTTTAATATCAAAGAATGGCACTAAACCCTTTATTAATATGCTAGAAGTGTCTAACCAGTTCCATGGATTACTTAAACATTATTTTGCACACACTATAAAACCCAAATAATAATATAATGGCATACAGTAGTGAATAAGATCAAGCAGCACTTGGCACATATTAAGTCCCAAAATACAGAATGTAGGAAGCTCAGAACACAACCTGGATTTAGCAAGGGCACCATTTACTCTATTGAATTCCTAAATAAGTTGATGGTGTGTTTAAAAAAAGTGTTTCAGAATGTCTAAAACATTAATGTAAGCTAAAGACTCTAGGATTTTTATTCACTGTCTGGAATCTAGTTTGAGAGATACACGAATGCCTGGAGTTCACTATAACCTCAAGGGTATTTATTCCATATTGACATTACAGTATGTAGGAAATGCAAACAGCAATTTTAAGGCTCTAAAAATAGACACTCACCTGTGACCTAAAAAGCATATTTAAATCTAGAATATACTTTAAAAGGATGTTCTTGTACTATGTTTAACACAGACAAAAACTGCTGGTTTATGCATTAACTATGCCAGGGTATTCTGGTGGTGGTGATGGTAGTTGTGGTTTGAAACAGTCTAGGTCAGCTAATGCATTTTCATGTAGCAATGGAATGTGATGGTGCTATCATGAAGACTGCTTTATAAATATAGGCCAGAGGAATATTTGGCAGCTGATATAGGCAAAGGAATGACTGGAGAGCATTTCCTACTATGTATCTGGGAAATGAATAATCTATTCTTAATGTACAGTTGACTGTGTCTAACATTTCACCTATATTAAGTAATATAAAGTAGCCAGGTGAATATTTAGACTACATTAGTCTTCTGAGTGTTTCCTAAAACATCTATTCTTGTTAATAATTCACATTTATATTGAGCTTTATGGTTCACAAAGTGTGTCCACATAACAATCACCTGAAGTAGGTAGTGAAGTGTTATTATCCTCATTTTACAGATGAGGAAACTGAGGCACAGAGAAGTCAAGTGACTTGCCCAGGGTCACACAGTCCAGTAAGTGTTAGAAAGGCTCCTAGACCAACACTCTCTCCCTGACACCACAGGCTGCCTCACTATTAAAAATGTTTTTTTATGCTTGGGTCTGGTTATTTTTATAGCTAGATAGTATTACTTGAGTACTTAACTGACATTAACAACAATAATGATTAAAGTGCTGCAAAACATGTTTTGTTAAAAAAGGAGCTAGGAATAATAGTTATCTGCACTTACTCTTTAGAATTCTGACTTTAACTTACAATGTTCATTTTCTCCTTTGCCTAAGATCCCAGTTGCACAGTAATACTTGTTGCATCAAGAAGACGCCTCTATTGTTCCAACATGTATAGTAAACACTAATAGTGAAGCAAGTGGTTCAAGAACAATAGATTTGAACAAAACTAACTGCTCTCTTTTCTTTCATTCCTTAAGCATGACGTGTGTGTGTGTGTGTGTGTGTGTTGTGTGTGTATGTGTGTGTATTTAAACTGGGAAACAACCATGTCCAAGCACCAAGTGGGGAGGTGTGGAAGGGATAGACAACCAAGCACTTTTTCATCTGAAATCGTGCGATGCCACCATGTGGGATAGTGGGGAAGGGGAGGAAGCAAAGCACTATTTCTCTTGTTGATTTCATTCTGTTTTAGGGGAGGGGGCAGGAGGATTTATAGGCTTCCCAGATCTAATTTTCATAGAACCACAAATTTAGCTCAAAAGTACCTCAGACTTCTAACATCTATCAGACATCTATTCCAATCTGCTCATTTTTACAGATAAGTGAATCCTAGAGAAATCCTGTGCCTTGCCCAAGGTTTCATACAGTATAGGCTGTGCAGCTGGAATTCTAACTCAAGTCCTTAGACTCCAGACTGGGTTTCCCACTGCATCATGGTATCCAGATCGCTCAGTCAAACAACTAAATTGACATTTCCTGAGATGCCCTGGATACTAGAGGGGACCCTAGAGCCTAGATTAGATGTGCACATGGCATTCATTAAAAAATCATCAGCTCTCCATTCGATTTTATGCTAAGCAGAATTGTTCAAGTTTTTCTCTTAATGTCATATAGAATATTGAACACATTAGGCTGAGGACATAGCTTCATCAAGCCTCATTCCGGGTTTAGGTATGTAATTCCCTAACTTTTCTTGAACCAAGACATTTCTCTGAATGAGAATCCTTGCTGTCAAGGTTTTGTAGGAACTTTTACCCCAACCTTGCAAAGTTATTAGTTTCACTAAAATAGAGGGATCCTTCTATAATGCCGTTATGAGGAGAGGAGAGGGAAGGGAGAGAGGGGGAGGGAGGATCAGGACTAATACCAGCCTCATGCCTCAACTTGGAGGGATCTGGAGTTGTTCTGGTCTAGGGATATCATACGACCTGTCGTACTGCTGAATCAGCGTAATCATGAGCCATTTTATAAGAAAGCTCTGCCATAGTATGGCTGCTACTTATAAGATAATGACATGCAGCATTACAGTGATGGAATCTTTTGAGGAGAGAACAGTGCACTTTCAACTTTTTTTTTTTTAGCTTGGACACACAGACCTGGATATAATACTTAAGGGTTTTGTGTCAACTTTTTTGCACTTTTTGACAAAAATTAAAGCCTCAGTTTCTTGTTAGGCACTTTATAAATTCATTAAACATGACATAATTCAGTTAGTTTTTGAAAGTCTCGTTTTCTTTCTATTTAACAAGCAGAAAATGATTGGAGTTACTGGCTCAAATGACTATTTTTGCAACGTTGCTTTCAGAATTCAAAGGTTTTTTCGTTCATTACAAAAACATTTTTGAATCATCTCAAAATCCAAATTACTGCATGCTATGGAGGACCATTAAAAACTCAATGATGATTTCAGTAGTGGTTGAGTGGCATCATACATATATGTGTGTTTATACATGTGTATGTATATATGTAAATTATATGTTCACATGTGTATGCGTATACATGTATATGTATCTATTCTGAAGCAGCAATAGAATAACATTATGGAATATTTTTTTGTGCAGCAATGATCTACATTATTGTACTGGTCTAAAAGAAAGTTCCTTTTGCAACTTTTCTAGATTTTTTTTTGAAAAAAAATTCTAAAATATAGCTACTAAGTCACAATTTCTTCAAAATCTGACAGTTGCTTCATCTGTTCAACCTGCATAGAATATCTTCTTATCAGCTTCTTTTTGTTTCTTAAATCAACTCTCTTTGGTGAATTTGGAGCAACAGGGACCATAGGTTTTAAGCCACTAGCAAGTGGGGAAGAAGGTTTACTGCTGGACCTGATATCAGGAATGGGTGGATTAGGATTCACATTTAAAGGGGGCAAAAATCCAGGCCTGGTATGAGAAATATGATCAAGTAAAAGAGTTCCAGAACCTCGTCTTTCCAACAAGTTGGGGGGCCTACGCCGAACTGACCCCGGGGAAGTGCTAGGCACCCCCTCAACAGATTCCCGAGAGCCATTAAATAAAGCCAAGTGAGAGCTGTTGAGTTTTTTCCTATCCATTGGCACTTTACCATTATCAAGGGCCATGGAATTTGGTGAGTCGCCACAGAGCTGTATATCTGAATCATAGTGACCATTTTCTAACCTTCTTAGAGAAGCTGAATCCTTGATGGTGGCTGATGTCGAGGTGGTAATGCTTGAATTATCTTGATCAGCAGGAAGAGTGCTCCTTCTGGCTAGGCGCTGATGGATGGGTTGATTTTTCTCATAGGCTGCTTTCCACGATGCTGGTGTAGAAGTGGATGGGATCTTTAAAACTTGGTCAGTGACGGTGGGGAAGAGAGTAGAGTCTTTGCCTTCAATGCTGTTATTCCTTGAAAGGGGTGCCCTTTTGGAGAAGGACAAGTCATTGATGCCCATGATGATTTCATCATCTGCACAGACACTTTTGGTCTCCTCTTGATGGGAAGAAGCTGCTAGCACAGATGGTGCAATCAAACCCCAGGGTTCTGACTGTAGCCTCTTCAACCGGGGCAAGCGGGCTCTTTTGAGGTTACCAACTTTCCTGGTGGGTGACAAGGCTTCACTGGGAACCTTGATAGCATGGCATCCACTTGAACATCCTGAATGAAGGCTAAAGAAATCATCTTCCTTTTCTCTGGGTGGAGCTCCCAAACCTGGTGTCTTTAATTCAATGTCAGATGGGGACATGCACAAAGCAGGTGATTGCCTGTCTTCAAACTTTGGTGAAGGTGGGATGTTAAGATACTGCTTAGTTGTTTTGGTGCCTGAAGATGATTTATCAGTAGTTATGATGATCACCTCCTTTCCCTTTGCCTTGCAGGCCTTCAGGAGATGTGTCAGAGTATCCTTGTCATCAGCATTAATGGCATAAACCAGAGCTGAAGCTCCGGAACGGTCTTCTAAACTAGGATCAGCACCGTTTTCCAGTAACAAGGAAACTACTTCTCCTCCTGCTTTCCTAATGCAAGCATGGATAAGAGCAGTTTTTCCTGACTTATCCTGAATATTAGGGTCTGCCCTATTGTCTAACAGGTATTTGACCATCTTGGACTTACTGATGCTTTGTTGGTCGACATGCTTAGTGATGCATGCCACCATGAGTGCTGTTTCCCCTTTGTCATTGCTTTCGTTAATGTAGGCCCCACCTTCCAGAAGGAGTCTAGTCAACCTAAGCCTTCCTAGCCATACAGCCTTTAAGAGTGAATTTCCATCCGTCCTCAGTTCTGTTGTTTCATCCATTTTACCAGATCCACATTAATAGGATGACAGCAATCAGACCTGGTAAGATAAAAATGGGGGTGTGGGGGTTACAAAATGTAATGAAATATTACTGCACTATAAGAAATAACAAGTAAGATGAATGAAAAGAAGCATGAAAAGACTTCTATGAACTGACGCAATGAGAAATAAGTAGGGAAACTAGGTGGCTCAATAGATAGAGCACCAGGCCTGGAGTCAGGCAGACTTGAGTTCAAATCCAGCCTGATATACTTACTAGCTGTATGACTGGGCAAATCACTTAACCCTGGTTGCCTCAGTTCCCTCTACTGTAAAATGAGCTGGAGAAGGAAATAGCAAACCACTCAATTGTCTTTACCAAGAAAACCCCAAAAGGAGTCACAAAGAGTCAGGCATGACTGAAATGACTGAACAACAACAAGGAAATAATATACATAATTGCTATAAAAATGTAAATGGAAAGAGCAGTAAGCACAAGACAGTTGAAAATTAATGTTGCAAAAATAAATTACAGGGATAATGCTTGGCTCTAGAGAGGAAATGCAAGAAGACACTTCCTCCCACTCCTTGCAGAGGTGGGCAGTCCATAAGTGTGTAATATTGCACATCATATGAGATTTTTTTTGATGTATTGATAAGATTTACTTAATTTTCCCCCTTCTTCCACTTTTTCTTTTTTCTTTTTTTTATGAGAGATAATTCTCTAAGAGGAAGTATAAGAAAGGATATGGGGGAAATTTTGAGTAACATAAACAACAGTTAAAAATAAAGATTTTTTTAAAAATAGAAATGCTTATTAGGTTTTTTCAGGAGTGGTTTAAAAAAGCCATTTTCCATTTCCATGTAATATTCACTGCTCTTCCAGCAGATGTCACAATCCTCATCTATTTCATACACTTCTAAGTATCTCTGTCAGTACAGTAAACTCTCTTTTAGGTTGCCTCAAAATCAAGAAAGATAAAATGTGTTTTCATTCAGTTTCTGAGAGGGAGATTATCTCTCAATATTTCTCATGGAGGGGTATCAAATCCATAAACTTGTTTTAACTCTTTTCATGTCCCTGACAATACGTAGGCTCAACATTCTCCAACCATCCTACCAAACTTGAGCTCAAAATTCTTCTTACATAAAATGAGAGATGTGTGTCATAAGGCAAACTCCTTACCTTCCCTGACAGGACCACACACTGCTTCATCTAATTTACACTGCATAACATTCTATACTTCCCTTGGTCAGTTTCCTCCGTATTTTACTTTAATACAACCTACACCATGGAAAGAGAGTTTGTGCCATATCCAAGTACTCTTGTTCGTTTGTCTGGTTCATACTGTGCCCACTTTAATATTGTCTCCTTGAGGCCATTACTGATGCTTTTTATTATAATGAAGATTTCATTTTGCCATCCCAAACCTTAATTTATTTATTTCATGGGAACCTAGTTTCTTTCACTTAATGCTAGCTGATCACCTGCCCCGATTTTGTTTCATTAGTAGATCAATACAGGTGATACCATCAAATAATTCAATATTTAAAAGATCTGTGATTTCATCAGTGTGGCTATATGTTTTAGTGATTAAGATCATAATAGTTCCACAGCTTAGGAGATTGCTTCATAATTTGCTGTAATAACAATTTTTTTAAAAAATCATCATGTGGTGACCAACCTTCTAATAATTAGCCTTTTTTTAGCTCAGCAGTCTGATGCAATCTGCCATCAAAATCATGCTCAAAGCCTTTCCATTGTGATAGGACCTGCCAGAATTTGCAAGCTAGGGGCCTAGCTTAGAGAACAACACAGTCCAGCAGAATAGAGGAGTGTCATTAAAGAATGAAATGTACAAAAATAAAATGAAAGTGTAGCCAAAGTGGAATAATCAATAAAAAATAGTTTGTGCTTGAATTGACATGAGTAGAGTAGAATCAGACATGGCCAACAGATTCAGTCTATCCTATGCACTATAGTTCATGATGATTACTTTTGGAATGTCCAGGATTGAGGAATTTGAGTTTCCTAAATGTTTTAAAACTTTAATATTAGCTCTGATTATCTGGAATAAATGCATATTCTAATCATGTCTGATTTGACTTGGTTTCATCTACAAAATTTATTGGTGGTGTAGGGAAAATAGCACAGACTTTGAAATCTTGTGATTTAAAATCTAGTACTTTTTTCTACCATACCAAACTAAAGAGCCTAGTAAGAAGGCTTCAGTTCAAATCTTGGCTCTTCTAATTTTTGCCTCACAGATCTTGGGCAAGTTACAGGTGTCTCTTAGCTTCAGTTTCCTTATCTGTAAAATGGGAATTATAATAGTATCTGCTATACCTACTTAAAGGGTTATTGTGGAAAAAAGGAGCAAAGAAAAGGTCATTCATTTATCCATTCACTCAACAAATATTTTTAAATGCCTCATGCACAAAGCATTGCATTGGGTGCTAGAAGATTGATACACAGTTTAGACAATACACAGAACCTACCTTATATAAATTAGAAGGGGGTAAATCTTAAATACAGATGATTATGTCATGGAGGACTACTTGGAGGATGTGGCATTTCAGTTAAATTTAAAAGGAAGTAAAGAGAAGGAAAGCGTTCTGGGCTCTCCCATCCTTAAAAAAAAATCACTTTAAACTAACACTTTCATATTGCTCCTCCATTTTACTACCAAACCCATTTTTAAAAATCTGCATTCACGATCAAAGCATATTATTTGCTATTTTTTCTTCTGTTTTGTTTCACTTTCTCTTTGTTATGGTTCCTCCTATTGGTTCTAATTCTTCCTTACAACATCATTAATGTGAATATATGTTTAATATGAATGTATATGTAATACCTATATCAGATTGTGCACCATCTTGGGGAGGGAGGTGGCAAGGGAAGGGGAGAAAAAGTTAAAACTCAAAAGCATATGGAAGTGATTGTTGATATATCAAAATAAATTAAAAAATATTTTGATAACCATAAAAAAAATCTGCATTCATTGCCTCTACTTCTCTCACTTCCCAACCCCTTGCAATCTAACTTCTGACTTCATCACTAAACTGAAACTGTTCTCTCCAAAGATATCACTGATTTCTTAATTGCCAAGTCCAAAGGCCCTATCTCAGTATTAATCTTTCTTTACATGCATTTGATAATGCTGACTATCCTTCTCTCCACACCAACCTCCATTCTCTCTGGGTTTTCTTGACACTGATCATTTTTGGTACTTCTCCTACCTGTCTGGCTCCTCCTCAGACTCCTTCAGTGTCCTATCCCCAATTCTTTACTTTTTTTAAACCTAAATTCATTTTATCTAAACTTTCCATGACCTTATCTACTTTCAAAGGTTGAATTGTCATCTCTATGAAATGGCTCCTAGATCTAAATATTTAGTGCTGTTTTCTCTTCTGTGGTCCATGACTACCTAGAGGACATTCCCAATTGGATGTCTTGAAAGAATTACAGGTTTTATATGTTCAAATCAGAACTCATTATTTTTTCCCCTAAAAACCTATTTCTAATCATAAAGTTCCTAGTTATGTTGAGAGCATCACTTCTTTTCAGTTACCAAGACTCAAAACCTAACCTCAACATCTTCCTTAACTTCTCACTCTCCCTCCTTCCTCCCTTATACAATAAGTTTTAAGTCTTGTTGTTTCTACCACTACAATATCTCTCTTATCCATCCCCTCTTCTCTACTCATCTGGCCACCATACCAATGCAGTCCCATATGCCATCACTTGAACTATTGCAATAGCCTCCTAACTGGTTTACCTGCCTCAAGCATCTCAATTTTCTTGTCCACTGTCTACATAAATGCCAAAATTGTACTCCTCTAAAAATACTGACATCTTTTGTTTTTACATTATTTTCAACTAATAATCTCCTAATTGGTCCTCCTGCCTCAAGTCTCTTCCCCACTCCACTCCATCTTCCATTCAGCTGCCTAAGTGATTTTTCTGAAATGTAAATCTGACTATGTCATCTCTCTATTCAACAAACTCTAGTGACTCCTTATCACCTCCAGGATCAAATATAAAGCCTTTTGTTCAGCATTTAAAGCTCTTCACAACCTAGACACTTCCTACTTTTTCAGTCTTCTTACATTTTACTTCCTTCCAAACACATTAAAATCCAACCATACTAGCCTGTCCTCAAACAGAATACTACCTCCCATTTCTTGCCTTTGCACTGAATATCCCCTATACTTGGAATGTTCTCTCCCAAACTCTAACTCTTAGAATGCTTGGCTTTCTTTAAGATTCAGTGCATGTGCCATGTCCACCATGAGACCTTTCCTGGTCTCCCCACTCCCCACCCCAGCTGCTGGTCATCTCCTCTAATGTTATCTTCCATCTACTCTTAATTCATCTAGTATGTAATCATTTATATATTAATATATAATAATAGTATATTAATATATAATATAATAATAAATATATTTGTATATATATATTTATATATTTTGTCTCCTTCATTAGCATGTGGACTCCTTAAGGAAATTGACTCTTTTTGCTTTTTTTTTGAATCCCCAGTGCTTAACACAGTATCTGGTACATAGTAAACACTTAATAAATGATTGTTCATTGATTGCTTGATTCATTTTTGAATATATCTTTCCCTTTCTTCTCTTCAATAAGCCGTCCCATAGTGGTATTCCTAAAGCATAGATCTATGTGATTCCCCGCTCAAAACATTTCACTCCTTCCTTATTGCCTTTGTACAAAATACAAATGCCTGTTTTATATTCAAAGCCTTTAACAGTCTGGATCTACCCTACATTTCCATTTGTACATATACATGTACATAAAGATATATACACACATATGTGTGAGTTATTTCTTTTCATGCATTCTGTGGTCCATGTCCTATTTGCCATTCCTCAAAGATGATATTCCATCTCTCATCTCCATGCCTTTGTATAGGCTGTCCCTTATACTGGGGATTCATTCTGTCCACATTTCTGCATCTCAGACTTCTTACTTTACTTCAAAGCTTAACTCTAGCACTATATTCCTCATGAGATATGGCCTGATTATTTCAATGACTAGACCA